GTGCCTGCCTGTCCCCTGAGCAGCTCTTATCCGGCCTGCAGGAGGATGTGCCCTGGGACACTGTCCTCCCCAGTCACCCCAGTCTCAGCCTGGGAGGTGCACCCTGTCTTTGGCCAGGCTTCTGTTTCCTGTCCCATGGTGAGGTCACCCCGCAAGGCTATTCTGAGGGCAGGAAGCCTCCCAGGTGCTAGGCTGGTCCCCACAAGCATCTCAGGACTGCTCTGTTCTCAGATGCGTAAGGAAGTTACGTTTAAGGAAAGGTGACCTTTCCCCCTCCTCTTTCTGACGTTTGAGGTGGGGGTTCTGGAGGGAGGTGGGCATATTAAGCAATGGAGTCTTGGGTGGTCTAGGCTGAGGTTTAGGAAATGGCAACCCTCTCCGGTATTTTTGCCTGGAAAATCCTATGGACAGAAGAGCCTGGTGGGCTACAATCCATGGGATCTGACTTTGTGACTAAGCAACCACATATGTGTATTTATTCTTGGCTACATTGAGTCTTCACCGCCACGCGGGGACTTTGCTTGCAGCGCATGGCAGTGCGTGGGCGTCTCATGTGGTAGCTTCTGTTGCAGAGCTCAGGCTCAGCACTTGTGGTGCTCAGGCTTGGTTGCCCTGTGTCACGTGGGATCTTCCCAGACTAGGGATCGAACCTGTGTCTATACAGTACATTGGCAGGTGTATTCTTAACCACTGGACCACCAGGGAAGTCCCAGAGGTTTTTCTTTTCAAACAGTTGAACATTGGTTAAGGCAACATCAAGCACTCTAGTGGATCCATTTAAGCCATGAAGCACTGCAGTGATTTCCAACCCACCAGAGTCACTTCAGGTGCCTCACGGCAGCCTTCAGTTGTTCCTCTGCTGTTTGTTCTGGGCTTGTGGGTGAGAGTAGCTGCTTCTGATGTACTGCTCATCAAATGGGGAGGAGCCAGAACCTGAGCTGTAATTGAGGGAATTGCTTTTCAAGAATTGGCTAGAATAGGAGATGGTGTGCAACAGGAGAAGGTCAGCAAGGCCTGGTTCAAGTGTACGTTCTGCTGGTGAATACTGGCCCTCATCTTCAAATCTGTGCCTGTAGGCCCCACGCAGTCTCTCAGGAAGAGTCACAGCTACACATCATTCTCTAAACCACACTGCTTATCCTCCGGTTCCTCCATCTTCCTATTTTCTCTCTTCCCACAGATGCATACCTACTCACATATTTGCATGTTCATTAAGGCAGATACACAGAGAGGAAAAAACACTCCATGTTTTATTTATTCATTTATTCCAAAACTATGTACTGTGCCCTTGGCATGCACAACCCCTATTTCCATGAGTTTAAGAATTCTGTGGACAGAGGAGTCCGGGGGGCTACAGTCCATGGGGTTACAAAGAGTCGGACATGACTGAGTGACTAACACGTTCATGGTCTTTAGCCTCTGGGCCACAGGCCAGTACCTCCTGTCAGATACAGGCATTAGATTAGAAATAAAGTGCACGATAAATGTAATGTGCTTTAATTATCTGGAAACTATCTCACCCCACCCCCGGTCCATGGAAAAATTGTCTTCCATGAAATCGGTCCCTGGTCCCAAAAAGGTTGGGGATTACTGGTCTAGAGGGAGGAGACAGGCAGTGAACAGATAAACAAAGGACCTGAAAGAGTGTCCTGTGGAAGTGTGCTCTTGAGAGTATGTGAATGTCACGTCCACATGCTAGGGTGTCACAGTGTGAGCGGGTGTTGCTCTGTACTGGGTGAGCAAGGAACACTGGCCTCCCTGAGAAGTGACTTGTGTCAGATGTGGGGACCCTGGGGACATTGTGTCAAGGCCTCGGGGTAGGCCTGTGCCTGGTGTGTTTAAGGAGCAGAGAGACAGCGGGAAGGTGGGGTCCCCAGAGGCAGGGGTCAGAGCTAAAGGCCTCATTGCCTGGGGGGAGGATTTGAGTTGAGATGTGTCCACTGGAGGTTCTAAGGGCATGAGCAATGTGAAAAAGCACCCGAGACCCAATTGACTGCCTGTCATTCCCATTAAGTGCACACCCTGGGGCTTTGTTCTGGGGGCCTCGGTTAGGGGGATATACAGGATGGTGGCCAGAGCCAGCCAGCATTTGGGGGGCATTTGACTGTCTGCTTGGCACATACTGACTGCTTACCATGTGACCTCTCGAGTAAACCCTACAGCGATCACAGCAAGAGGCAGCATTATCATCAGTGTATCCACAAGGATAACAAGATACAAGGTGGAGCCATTCACTCCCAGTCACCTAGCTGGAGCCCCCGCCAGGCAGGTTCCCCCTGCTCTATCTGCCTTTCTGGAAATGGAGCTCTGGGCAGCTTTTTTGTTGTTGTCGATTTATCTTTATTACTTAATATGTGTGAAACATTGTTATAATTTGCATTTCTTTGACCACTACCGAGATTGAACAGTTTTTCCCATGTCTTTGTTATTATTATTTCTTTACAGTGTCATACATGCATGTATGCTAAGATGCTTCAGTTGTGTCTGGCTCTTTGCGACCCTATGGACTGTAGCCCACCAGGCTTCTCTGTCCTTGGGATTTCCCAGGCAAGAATACTGGAGGGGGTTGCCATTTCCTACTCCAGGGGATCTTCCTGACCCAGGGATCAAACCCACATCTCTTGAGTCTCCTGCACTGGCAGGCAGGTTCTTTACCACTAGTGCCACCTGGGAAGCCTGTGTGCAACCAAGTGAATTGACTGTATCTACATATATATCTGTGAAGTGCCCCCCTTCTGGGATCTACCTTCTACCCCCACCCCCTGTCCCACCCATCTAAGTCACCACAGAACACAGAGCTAGCTCAGCTCACAGAGATAGCTCAGAGATAGCAGTTCTCCACTAGCTATCTGTTTACACATGGCAGTCATATAAGTCAGTCTCAGTCTCCCAATTCATCCCATCCCCGGCCCATGTCTATACGTCTCTTCTTTTTGTCTGTATCCCTATTCCTGCCCTGCAAATAGGTTCATTTGTACCATTTTTTAGATTCTCTGTCCATGGGATTTTCCAGGCAAGAATACTGGAGTGGGTTGCCATTTTCTTCTCCAGTGGATCTTCCTGACCCAGGGATTGAGCCCAGGTCTTCTGCATTGGAGGAAGATTCTTTACTGTCTGAGCCACCAGGAAAGCCCCTAGATTCCACATATATGCATTAATATATGATAGCTGTTTTTCCTTCTGATTTACCTCACTGTGTATGACGGACTCCGGGCCCATCCACGTCTCTATACGTGACCCAATTCCGTTCTTTTTTATGGCTGTGTAATATTCCATTGTATATATGTGCCACATTTTTATCCATTCATCTGTCGATGGACATGTCTTTACTTTTTTTAATTGTGATAAAATATAACATTAATTTTATCATTTTAGCCATTTTTAGATGCATAGTTCAGTGGTTTGAGTACCTTCACACTGTCATGCAGTCATCACCACTATCCATTTCTAGAACTTTCTCATCAGCCTACATAGAAACTCTGTAGCCATCAAACAAGAACCACCCCCCCCTCCCTTCTCTCTTCCCCAGCCCCTGGTAACCTTAAATCTACTTTCTGTGGCTGAGAATTTGCCTGATTTAAATATTTCATACGTGTAAAATCATCCAATATTTCTCCTTTTGTACCGGCTTCTTCCATTCAGCATAATGTCTTTAAGGTTTGTTTGTGTTATAGCACATCAGCTTCCTTTCTGTGGTTGAATAATGTCCTATTGTATGCATGGACGACATTGGTGTATCGGTTCATCTGTTGATGGATATGGGTTGTTTCCAGCCCGGGCAGCTTTTTACATGGAGACGGGATCTTTCCAGCTACTTGCCTCCATTTTGGGGATGCTTTCTGAAGCCTGGAGAAGCTGTGTCTGCCTGGGGGGTTGGGTGACAGCCACTGCATGGATTGGAGATGGGGCCAAGCTTTTGGAGGTGACTCACCTTGGACTGTTTAAAAGCACAGGGTGAACACTGTAATTGTTCTTGTGCTGCCACTAACTCTAACCTGGTTTTCTTCCTGTCCACCCCATAGACTCATAGCGTTGAACAGGACTTCCAGAGTGGGCACTTCATCATTTGCTTCTAATCAGCACATTACCTTCTGTAGATGGGAATTGACCTTGTTCTTGAAATTCCCCAGAGTAGCTACCTGGGAGCCCCAAGTCTCTGCTGGGAAACCTGGGCAGGCCACACCTTACTGGGCTCAGTTCCCCATCTGTAAAATGATGTAAAATCCCTTCTGCATGCATGTGCAATCCCTTCAGTCGTGTCCGACTCCTTGCGACCTCATGGACTGTAGCCCACTAGGCACCTGGAGAATCCATGGGATTCTCCAGGCAAGAATACTGGAGTGGGTCGCCATTTACTCCTCCAGGGGATCTTCCTGACCCAGGGATCAAACCCACGTCTCCTGTGCCCTGTGCATTGGCAGGCAGATTCTTTACTACTGAACTAACTGGGAAGCTCTTCTAAAATCCCTTCTAAGAGATTACATATCCTTCCTGGACAGACAGATTAAAAAATACTTTGAAAATTAAAATCCAATTTTCCCCCTGCTATTTGTACCTCAAGCCTGTCCCCTTCTCTTCTGCGAGAAGCACTGGTCAGCATGCCCCCCACAGTCACCCTGTATTTATTGCCCACGCCTGTGATGTCCGTGGCCCCTTGGCCTCTGGTTAAATGACAGAGTGGAGTTCCCAGGGTGTGAGCAGATGGGTTACAGGTCCTGTACCTGTTGGGTGACTTTCTTTCTCTGTGACAGTCAGCATGGCTGTTTGACAGGAACCCCATCCCTGTGGTGCCAGCCTTTCTCTGGAGGCCTGGCAGCTCTAGGTGGCCTCAGGAGACTCTGGTTTCTGCCTCTCTGGATGAGCTGGCCCCCTCTCAGCACCAGGAAATAAAGGATGCTGGCTGTCACCTGTTTGCTTCTCAGCCGCCAGCCGGGCAAGAAGCAACAGTTCCCGCTGCATCCGCCTCCCCGAGGCCACTCACCGGCCTTTTCTTTTTTCAGAACAATCAACCTGAAGAACCCGGTACTGCAGCAGGTGCTGGAGAGGAAGAACGAGGTCCTGTGCGTCCTGACGCAGAAGATCGTGACGACGCAGAAGTGTGTGATATCTGAGCACGTCCAGATCGAGGAGAAGTGCGGCGGCATGGTGGGGATCCAGACCAAGACTGTGCAGGTACATGCCTGGCCAGGGAGGCGCCGGGTCAGGGCCCTCTGGGAGTGGGGTCTCCATTCATCAGGACTCTTGGAGGGAGTTAACAGAAATCCAACTCAAATTGGTTTAAACAAGAAAGAACTGCTTGGCTTCTGTAACTGAAACATTTGGAGTGATCTATTCGGTCACTGCTGGATCCAGGACTTGAGAAGCCGGCGAGCTGCCTTCCCTGAAGGTGGATTCCCTCTCATATAAGCTCATGAGGCGGCAGCTCCTGGCTTTCTTCCGACCCCATCCCTAGTGGAAAGAGTGCTTCAGGGAAGGCAGGCACTGGACCATCCCGGGCCCTGCCCGTTCCTGAAGCAGACCCAAGGCCAGGGCGATAGGATGCTTAGATTGGCATACCAGGGTGAATCAAGTGCCTTCCCCCTTCAAAAAATGGATCAAATGAGCACTGGCCAGGCCAACACACAGATAACTCCTAGAGCCCCTAAGAATCAAGGGTCTCAGAAATGATGATTTTGAGATGAGCTGCCTTAAATCCCCAGTGGATTGAGTTAGGAAAGGTAAAGATCAGCACATGTGTCTTTAATATACATAAACAGATGTTTCTGGATTAAGTTACAGTCCTACCAAATGACTCCTGAGCTTCAGTGGAACTGAACAGGAGGCACTGACCCCAAACTGCCTCCCCTCCATAGTGCCTAATATTCGGCTTTAGAAAGTTTACTTCTTGGGGTAACTTCCAAATTATACCAGAGGACCCAGTAATGTTATATTTAGAAGGAGGTGGAGATTGAGGTCTGGAGTTGGACTCTCCCTGGGGTGGGCAGGCTGGACAGAGTGATGAGGGCTGATGGGAGATGGCTTTAGCTGGCCCTGACAGTATTTCTGTCCACAGGGACCCCCCACCAAAGGCCTGGAGCCTTCTGGGGTGTACGGAGGTTGGTAGTCATCACACTGTGACCAAGATCAAGTTGTATAAAGGCCTCTAATCTCCATCATCTGGGTCACTTCTCCTCCTCAGGCCATGGTGGGCAAGAGTCAGATTTGTGACAGGGTCTGAAGGAGAGAGCTTTGCTGCTGACTCGACATTTCCTGGCCACCCTTCTCTCCTGCTTCTGCCCCTTCCTTCCGGCCTCTTTCCGGTTTTATCTGATGGCACAGCGTGTCATATACCTGGTCTGGGAGGACGTGCTTAGGGGATCTTGCTCTCAGCTAAGTTCTCCTAGTCAGACTCTTACCGTTGATTTTCTTAGGATTTCAGAGTTGTTTCCATAATCCTCCATGAGGGAAATAGGAAGTTGTCTTATTTATTATCTTCTTTACTCAGCACCATAGACCCAACTTCACTATCTCCCAAATTCTGGATTCTTGCCTTTGTGCTACAGGTTGGCCACTGACTTTAGAATATGTGTAGGACATCATGAGGCCGACAAGGATTAAATCCTGACCCCTGCTGGCTGGTTCCCCTTTCCCCCCAGTTCTGTGGGCATTTTCCTGGCACTTCTTGGGCATGGGGCCTAGGCTGGCCACATGGGAGGCAGGAGAAGCCTGGAGGAGCCTGAGCACACAGGTGGGAGCATGCACCCTTCCTGCAGGTGTCAGCGATGGAGGATGGGAACTTCATCAGGGACAGCAATGTGGTGCTGGAGATCCCAGCTCCCACCACCATTGCCTACGGCGTCATCGAGCTGTACGTGAGGGCAGACGGCCAGTTCGGTGAGTGTGCCTCAGCTTGGGGTTCTGGAGGTGGGCTGAGTCATCGCGGAGGGACACCCCATTTTACCCAGAGGCTCATCTTGTAGAAGATCCCCTGCTGCTCTGGGGGTGAGAGGAAAGAGGTATCAGAAGAGTCGGGGGATGTCCCAGGGCAAGTGAGATGGCAGGCTGTGGTTGGAGGGCATTGGTGCATCAGAGTGTGCGTCACATACACGGCACAGAGGGAAGAACGTGAGCTCTGTGGTGGAGTAGACCGGGGCATCAGCCCGAGTGCCATGGGTCCTGTGAGGTCTCAGGCAGCTAGCTGAAGCCTGCTGAGCTTCGGCTTCCTGTGTCTGGGAGAGGAACTTCCGTGAAGAGCAAGTTACAAGAGGCGTGTGAGTGCCTGGAACATTGGCGGCTTATTAAGTACTCACCTTGGCTGTTATAATACTGTCATCATCCCGATTATCTTACCGCCCTTCCCCCAGCACGAAGCCCAAAAAGCTGCATTTGACCTTTCTGTCTGATCACCAGTGTGTTCAAAGCTGGAAGTTCACTGTGTCACTTGAAGAAAATAAGGCTTTAGTAGCTGATGTGACTGATGCTCTTACGTGCTCAGGGCTCTTCCGTTATACTCTTTCCAAGAGGTCGTGGGAGCCCAAGAAAACTGACTGCTTCTTGAGGACATAAATGAATATATGTAACATCATAAATAATTAACTTTTTAAGGTACGGTCATATTATTTTAGCTTTGTTTATGAAGAGTCGTCCTAGTTTTTAGAGATTTACAGTGACCTCTTCACAGGTGAAAAGACTGTGTGGTTTGCTTCAGACACGGTGGTGGAGAGCGAGGTGTGTGTGTGAGGGCAGAGATGAGGGGGCTGTCCCAGCTGGTCAGCGTCCGCGTGCAGGCTCTCTGCCCGACTCTGTCCATCCCTGTGAACTTTCAGTTTCCGTGGTGAGAACACCGTAAGAGTGTGCTTGGACGGGCCGAGCACATCGTGGCTGCCTCCTGCCCTCCCCCGGTTGTTTTCTGTCCGGTGGGGGGACCAGGCCGGGGATGAGAGGTTCTTCTGGGACTCAGGCCTCTGCCCTCACTCGGCCACTTGAGGAATCACTGTTCAGCTGCCACGGGCTCTCAGATCGCTGACTGTCCGTGGGACAGTAGACAAGTGGGCAGGTGAGGGGCATGGGGCGCTGTCCCTGGGCCTCCCTCTTTCTTTCACACATGGAGCATTCTGTGTTTCAGGGAGGTGATGAAAAGTGAAGCTGCCAGTTGTGGGAAGCTGGTCCAGGGGATGGTCGGGGATGCACGGGATACCAGGAATACCAGGAGTTGTGATTAACATCCTTTAGGTCCATGGTTCCAAAATTGTGTCATCCCAGACGTGATTATTATTTTCTTTCTTTTTGAAAGACTGTCCACTGAACACACTGCCTTATTAAGTTTTTCCTTCAGCTTTTGTTATAGGGCTTCCCTCATAGCTCAGTTGGTAAAGAATCCACCTGCGATGCAAGAGACCCCAGTTTGATTCCTGGGTCGGGAAGATCCACTGGAGAAGGGATAGGCTACCCACTCCAATATTCTGGCCTGGAGAATTTCATGGACTGTATAGTCCACGGGGTCACAAAGAGTCGGACACAACTGAGCGACTTTCACTTTTTCACTTTCACTTTTCAGCTTTTGTTATCAGCGTGTGATATGCTGTTTCATCACAGGGGCCCACAGGGGCTTGTGTGACTCCGAGACCTTGGTTATCCCATGCAGATGGACTGGTGGTGGGGGTGTCACTTTTGTCAGGCCTTTTGGAAGCTTGGCCTTCATGGAGGATGCCCACAAGGGTTCTGAGAACCCTTTGGTGGCTGGGGCCGCCCCTCCAGGCTTTGTGACCCACAGGAGCCCCTCCCTGTTTCTCTGAGGAGGTAGGTGTGGGGGCTCTGCCCTGTTCGTGGCAGATGGGGTTGGAAAGACAGTTTGCCTGGGGAAGCTCTCCTGTTTGCATTCCCATTTCAAGCCTTTCATCTTGGCTTGCTTCCTCTGTCTTGAATATAAACAACTCCTTGTGCTGCTGAGCAGAGGGGCCCCGGGGAGCTCTCGGTTCCTCAGGCTCACTCCCCACGCCCCAGCCTTCTCCCGCCGCCTGCTCAGCGTGGTGGTCAGGCTCTTGTTCTGTGCAACTCACTGATTTTTAAGCCAGTTCTTCCTTTTCCCATCCATGTTTTTTGTTGCTCTTCCTGCACAACATTCTACTCTGGTTTCATAAACAGCCCTGCAGGCGCTGGTCTGACCCTAAAGAGGCTGTCTGATCTCTCCTCCCACCTTCAGGGTGGGAGTACATTTGACAAGGTCCTGTCTTTTGAAACTTTGCCAGGAGGTCACTCCCTCTGTGTCCCTTGGGGGAGGCATCAGTGGGCCTGTCTTTGCCAAGGGGTTCCTTCAGCTGTGGACCCCTCTCTTTGCCAACAGCTCCCCTCTTATGTGGCCAATCAGAAACATCATGTTCTCATCTGAATTTTAGTCTTTGCTTTGTAGAATTAAGCATTTACCAGTGTCCTTTCAGCATGAACTATTTTTTAAAAAAAACTTTTTATCTTGTGTTAGGGTATAGCTAATTAACAATGTCATGATAGCTTCAGGTGGACAGCAAAGGGACACAGCCATACACGTGTATGTATCCATTCTCCCCCAAACCTTCTTCCCACCCAGCCTGCCACAGAATGTTGAGCAGAGTTCTCTGTGCTATACAGTCAGTCCTTGCTGGTTGTGCGTTTTAAATAAAGCAGTGTCAGCATGAACTTACTGGGCACCTGTGGACGAGAACCTCTGCTTTCCACCCTTCTGGATCTGTGCACTTCTCTGCAGGTCCACAAGCTGGGATCAACATCCCTGTTCCCATCACAGGTTTTTAACTGGCTCCTCGGCCCCCAATCTTCCCCATTTTAGCAGTGTAGCTAATGTATTTAAAAATACATGTTTGGTCATTTCACTCACCTTCTTGAATGACCTTCTGAGGCTCCCTTTGTCCTAGGATGAAGTCTGCACTCCTAGGCACATTGCGTCCAGCCTTCCTGCTCATCTCCAGCACCTCCAAAGTTAACTCACTACCTGGGAACTCTCCACTCTTATCGTGAGCCTTTGTTTGGAGAGTGCTCCCTTCTTCTTGGCCCAGCTAATTCCTACTAGGCTTCAGGGGGCTACTTAGTCACTGCTTCATCCAAGAAGGTCTTTCTTCCTCCACTGGTTCTTTCTCTGCACCTGCCAGTCTGGCTTCAGTGACCCCCTCCACCTTTTCCACTTGTATGTTACTCATTGTCAAAGCCTAGGTTGTAGTCCTTTTGAATCTCTAGCTCCTTGCAACATGTCTGATGCTGCAAAGAGTGAAGGAGTTGGTACTGCCCTCAAAGGAGCTGTGCATGTGTAACGGAAGAACACTGCTGGGACTGTGGACTCCCAAAACACAGCTGGTCCCACGGGGCTCTGGGCAGCGTTTGAGGCTGTGTTAGTGGTCGTGGTCCTTGTTCTCGGAGAGCGTGACCTGGGGGTCAGTTCACACTTACCCACCTTGGTGCCTGGTGTAGAGGGTGGAGTGAGCCGGGGGCATCCTGGATGCCCAGGAGTGTAGGTAGATTGAGTAAGAGGAAGCTTGTTTCATTTGTCTTTTGACGACCATCCTATCTTATGGATGTCATTAGTGCCACACCAATTCCAAATGTGTTAATACCCACACCTTCCACATGTCATGCAAGTACTAGGCTCAGCCACATTCTCATTCCATAGCCTGTACACAGATTATTAAATAGAAGCATGAAAAGAATGCGCATTCTTTTTAAAAAAATGTTTTATTGAAGTACAGTTGATTTACAATGTTGTGTTAGTTTCAGGTACCTTCTAACAAGCAGATTCCTGCCCCCATCCATGATCCACTGAGACCTACACTCCCTGAGAATGTGGTTTTTTAAAAAAAAACATTTTTTCCTCTGTGTTTATGTGTATATGTATTCATTTAAAATTTGTATTGGAGTGTAGTTTACCATGTTAAGTTTCAGGTGTACCACAAAAGTGACTCAATTATACATAAATCCATTCTTTTTTTAGATTCTTTCCCCATATATGTCATTACAGAGTATGGAGTAGAGTTCCCTGTGCTGTATGGTGGGTTCTTATTAGTTACCTGTTTTATATCTAGCAATTACTGTATGCCAATCCCAATCTTCCAGTTTATCCCCCCTCCCCCCCACCCCGTTTTCTCCCATTAACCGTAAAATTGTTTTCTCTATCTCTGACTCTACTTACGTTTTGTAAATAAGTTCATTTGTACCATTTTAAAAGATTTTACATATAAGCAATTATCATATGTGTCCCTTCTCGGTCTGACTTCACTCAGTCTGACAATCTCTAGGTACATTCATGTTGCTGCAAATGGCATTATTTTATTTTTAATAAGATTATTATTTATTATTCTACTGTACATATGTACCACATCTTTTTCTGTTCCTCAGTTGATGGACATTTAGGTTGCTTCCATGTCTTGACTATTGTAAATAGTGCAAGGGTGCCTGTATCTGTTCGAATTATGGTTTTCTCCTGCTATGTGCCCAGGAGTGAGACTGCTGGATCATATGGTAGTTTTATTTTTAGTTTTTTAAGGAACCTCCATAGTGGTTGTACCAATTTACATTCCCACCAACAGTGTAGATGGGTTTCCTTTCCTCCAAACACTCCTTTGCATTTATTATTTGTAGATTTTTTTGATGGTGACTATTCAGACCAGTGTGAGGTGATATCTCATTATAGATTCGATTTGCATCTCTAGTAATCAGTGATGGTGAACATCTTTCACGTGCCTGCTGGCCATCTGTGTTTCTTCTTTGGATAAATGTCTATTTAGATCTTCTGCCTATTTTCTGATTGTGTCAGTTTGTTGTTGTTGTTACTGAGCTGCACTGAGCTGTCTGTGTTTTGGAGATTCTTTGTTGGTGACTTCATTTGCAAGTATTTTCTCCCATTCTGAGGGTTGTCTTTTCATCTTGTTTATGATTTTCTTCGCTGTGCAAAAGCTTTTAAGATTAATTTGGTCTCATTTGTTGTTTTTATTTTCATTACTCTAGGAAGTGAGTCAGAAGGAGAATCCTCATTCTTAAGTTCACACACAGTTTTTGCTTAGCAAGAACACACCATTGCATTTTTACCTACAACTTAGTTACCCTAGTTGGGCTCTCAAATGTGAAAGTATTTAAGGAGCATTTCTTTTTATTATTTTTAAAAACTTTTTATTTTTGTAAATTACACACATGTTCAGAAGTACAGATAATAATATACTGAACCCCATTTACCTACCATCCAGCTTCATTAACTTGGATAATTCATGTTTCATCTATAAGTTCCCCACCTCCCTCCATCCCTACTCAAATAGTTTTGAAGCAAATCATAGGCATTATATATTTTTGTTTATAAATATGGAAACATCCCTAAAAGATAAGTCTTTTTAAAAAACTAATTTTCCTTCATATGGATTCATATAGAATATATTCTTTTGTGTCTGGATTTTCCTACTCTATATAAGTTTCATTCATATAATTGCAGTAAAAACTTTACTACTTGTTAATGAAGAAAAATTGACTCTCCAAGAGCCATGTAGCCACTTGTGCACCTAAATATATTGTCAATAATTGTGTAATATCAGTTCAGTCAGATCAGATTTAACAATCAGATTCAAATTTCCTCATTTATGTATCGTGGGTTGTTTGTTGGAGTTGGTTTGTTCCACTCAGGCTAAGGAGATACTTCTGATGATTGGAAGATTGCTTCCTGCCTGTTCAGAGAGCCTTATGTTAGGAATGACCATTTCTCTGGCATTTGTAGGGAGTGGCTGAACTTTGGTCAAACAGCTTAACATGTAGAAGCGGGTTTATGGGGAAGAGAATGGATGTGCCTCCCTGCCTTCTTGACTTAGGTAAAGCTGGGACTGGGATGTGCCAATGAGGCTGACCCTTCTGCCTGGCTTGTCATTTTCTCCTCCATTACAGAATTCTGCCTCCTACAAGGGAAGCATGGTGGCTTTGAGCAGCAAAGGAGAAGCAACTCTGTCTTGCTGTACCCCCTGCCCTTCCCAGAGTTTGCGTTCTGGGACATGCCAGATGCCGGGCAAGGGCTGTCTGCCCAGGATAAGCCACTGAGTGTTTTAAAACAAGGTACTGTCATAGGATGGGGCATGGTTAGCTGATGGGTAGTTGACTGCTCTGCCCCCCAGGAATTCCCCAGAGGTTCATGGAAAACATCTGAGAACAGAGAAGATGGTGCCTGAGTCAGTTCTGGTTCTCAGCAGGACCCACCTTGGTCAGATCTTAGGGAACCTCTGGTCTTGGATGGTCCGTTTTAAGGAAGTGGTGGGAGGCTGAGGAGGGCAAGAGTCAGGGGCCTAGCATTTTCTTTCATTTGAACCATGGCAGTCTTGCAGACTACCAAGAAGAGCTAGTCAGCAGTGAGGAGAGAGAACCCAAGTTTTGCATCTGTTTCATTTATTCCAGACTTCATTGCCAAGATAAGCAATGCTTTGTCAGCACTGCAAAATAAAATGCTCCTTTGGAGGCCCATGTCCATGTGGCATGAAGCCGTTTGGTGCCAAGGCGTCCAGCAACAAGGGGGGGGGGCAGTACGTGCCACGTGCCTGCAGCAGTTCCTTTTGCTCTCCACAGCACTTTATGTTTTACAAAGTTTTTGTGGGGGAGTAGGGTGGGAATTAATAGGAGTACAGTATATGGTAGAAGAGGAGATGGGCAAGGAAAAAGAGAAATGAGTAATTAAGTAAGAGCGACTTTCGCTTCCCCTTTACTAAAGAGAGCTAGGAGCAGCTCAGAAACTCTGGCTTGGAGGGTAAGAAGAGAGACTCATCAATGGGGCTTCAGCGAGTCCCAAACCAGTAGATAGATGCTTTTGTTTCTGTAGCAAAAAATGTCAGTGTTGACAGAATTGGCAGTGAAGGCCCACTCTTAAGGCTTTCCCATCTAATGCCAGGGCTGCAGGCATCCTCCTGATATTTGGGTGTGATTTTCAGCTGCCACCTAAGATTAGAACCACTGCAGCCTTAACTGCATGCACTACAAGACCGGATGAGCTTTCTTATAATTTCCTTTCCCACTAGTCTACCCTGCAAGCTGGCCATTCTAGTCAGCCTGGGGTGGAGTAGGGAGGCTGGGTGGTTTAGGCGGGAGTAGGGTGGGGGCCCGCATCTGTGCCCTTAAACTCTAGAGCAGCCAGGACAGCCTTTCTATCCAGGCCAGGGCTGGTGAGGACCTAATTGGGTTTATAGGGTGGTTTTTTAGTATAACTGTTGGAATTTGACATCAGCAGAGGTGGTGCATTTATGTATTGCTATGCATCCCTGTATATGGAAGCTTTGGCTTATCAAATCTTGTTTTCAAATTCCCACTGGGCTTAAATTACTAGATGCTTCTGACTGTCTTAAAAAAGGAAGACTTTAAGGGGAGAGGCTCAGGCATCCTGAAGAGGGTGTTGAGTGATCCAGCTGGGGTTCTAACCATTTCTCCAGGACAGGTAAAGAAGAATGGGGAAAGTGGCTATCTTGTGTTTGCCTAATGAAAATTATGCCAGTCCCTTGAAAAGCATGCATTTCATGTCAAAGGATACAAAAAAACCTGCAGCGTATTGGGAGTATATGAAAAATAATGCATTTTGGAATTTGTATGGCCCTGAAGCTTTGTAAAAGTCCTAACTGATGTTTGGTAATTTAGATGATAATTTAATAACTGCAAATGACTTTTTCAGGAAATTGATTAGACTTAATTAATGTTTAGTGAGTCATCAGGAAAAAGTCTGAGACAAAACTTGGCTTCCCTCTTTTCTGTCTCCCCATCCTCCCTTTCCTTCCCTCCTCCTTTCTTCCTTTAATAGTCTGGTTAGTGAAAAACACACAGGTGGTATTTAATACTCTTTATTTCTGAGTTCCACTATTGACCATGCAGCTGGAAGTGTCAATGAAAGAACAGAGGACAGTTCTCTATGAAAAGCCTGAGTTGCTGGCCCTAGTTCTGGGGTAAGTCATGAGACCCGATGTGCTCTGCTGCGTTCACAGCCACTCTGCTCTTAGAGAGGAATTTCCATCCCTTCATGGAGTTGCCCGAGCAGCAACAGACAGCCCTGAATGATGTCCTCCAGGCAGTCCTGTTGGATGAGGAATTACTGGTGGTCCTGGAACAAGTGGTAAGACTGGAAATACCTCAAGGCAGTGTCTCTGCCTGTTTTTCTGCACTAGGTCTCTTGGGATAAGAGATCTTGAGCTGGGGTAAAATTGTGTTTGAAATTTCTTCACCTCCTTTTAATCCTACAGCTTCTTTTGTTCTTGGTTGCAGCCCCTTAGCTGTCTAACTGCAGAAAAGTAGCTGATGTGCAGAGCAGAAGGGTGTATTAGTTTCCTAGTGTTGCTGTGACAAATTGCCACAAACTGCAATGTATTTTCTTACAGTTCTAGAGGCCACAAGTCTAAAGTCAAGGTGTCATCAGGGTTTTGCTCCCACAGACTCTAGGGGGGAATCCTTGTGTGCCTGCCTCAGTTCCTGGGGGTGCTCCTGGCATTCCTTTACTTGTGGCCACATTGCTCAAGTCTCTGCTCTGTCTTCATGTGGCCGTCTACTTTTCTGTCTCTTAATGGACACCCACAACTGGATTTAGGGTCCACTCCAATCTAGGGGGATCTTGAGATTTACCTTAACTACATCTGCAAGAACTTCAAATAGGGTCTTATTGTGAAGCTCCAGGTGGACCTATCTTTGGGGACCACTGTAAAGAAGCCGCCTGTGGATGCAGGAGACATAAGAGACACGGGTTTGAGCCCTGGGTTGGGAAGATCCCCTGGAGGGGGGAGGGCATGGTAACCCACTCCAATATTACTACCTGGAGAATCCCATGAACAGAGGAGCCTGGTGGGCTACAGTCCATAGGGTCGCAGACATGACTGAAGTTACTTAGCATGTGTGCATGCTCCAACTCACTCTGAGTGTTGTATGTCGTGAAGGCAGAGGCTGGGTTGTGCCCAGCTTGGCCTCTGGCTTTACATCTGTTTCTCTCTCCCACCCCCCACCAACCTCATCCCGCAGTGTGATGACATAGTCAGCAGCCTGTCACCCTCACTGGTGACACTGGGGGAGCTGAAGCCGTCACAGCAGCACAACCTCACGACCTTCCTGCGGCTGGCGGGGTGCAGTGTGCAGGGCGAGCGTCCGGGCTCAGAGGATGTGGTTAACAACCAGAAACTCTTCTCTACAGCCTACTTCTTGGTCAGTGCGCTAGCAGGTATGGATCAAAACAAAGGGAAGAAATGCTGTTGCCTTGAAATTGCTTTGTTGACTGTGTGGGAGATTTGGTACATAAGGTTCCCCCCTTTTCAAGCAGTGCAGGGAAGATAAGCAGGAGAGTTTACAGGACTGCCATGAAGTCATGGACTTGCTGCTAGCCTCCTCCACTCTTGGAGAGGACTTTCTTTCCTCTGCCAGGGAGGGCTGTCTGCAGGCACACCCTCTCACCCGCACAGGAAACCACTTTCCCAGACAGCCTGTGATTCACACTTGAAAGCCACTGCCACCTCCCCCAGTGTTTCGGTCCTCTCATCCTCTTGTTCCTCTTTGCAAACTTACGGCCCTATCCTGAGGGCAGCATTGTGGCCGTGAGGGCAGGGAGGCTGCAAAAGAGCATCCCAAGGCGCCCAGCACCTTTACAACCTCCACACCCATCCTGGCCATCCAGTTATTAGTGAGCTGTGGAGCCTGCCCTACACTTCCGCACCAACTCCCATCCAGAACGCAGCATGCCAGAGGGTCTGTGGTACCAGAACGAGGTCATCCTGTATGAGGAATTTATTTGTCTGCACTGGGTCTTTGTTGCAACACATAAGATCTTTAGTTGAGGTGTGAGATCTTTAGTTCCCTGACCAGGAATCGAATCTGGGCCCCCTGCATTGGGAGTTTGGAGTCTTAGCCACTGGACCACCAGGGAAGTCCCGGAAGCTGGACCTTTACTTCTCAGAGAGGTAAGAGCTGACAAACTAGCCCAGTCTTAGTCCCTGCATCTTCTTCTCAAGGTGGATGTTGAGTATGTTATATGTTTTTAGGAGTTTATTTCTTCTAGGTTGTCCAATGTTTTGGCATAAAATTATTCACAGTACTCTCTTATGATCTCTTGTATTTCTGGGCAATCAGTTGTAAAATCTACACTTTCATTTCTGATTTTATTTGAGGCATCTCTTTTTCTTGGCAAATCTAGCTAAATGTTTGTTAATTCATCTTTTCGAAGAACTAGCTATTCATTTCATTGATTTTTTTTTTAATCTATTACTCTGTATTTAATTTTCACCTTGATCTTAGTGATGTCCTTCTCTCTACTAACTCTGTGTTTCATTTATTCCTTTTGAGGTATAAAGTTAGGTTTTTTGAGATTTTTTCTTGTTTCCTGAGGTACCATTTATTGCTGTGAACTCTCCTCTTAGAACTGCCTTTGCTACATCACATAAATTTTGATGTGCTGTATTTCCATTTGCCTAAAGGTATTTTTGAGCCATTCTTTCCTTATTGGTTTTTTTGTCTGGATGATCTAGCCATTGATAAAAGTGGAGTATTAAATAGTCCCCTACTATTATTGTATTGCTGTCCATTTTCTCTTTTTAGGCTTATTTTCTTATATATTTAGGTGCTTCTATGTGCATGCATGCATGTGTGCTCAGTTGTATTTGACTATTTTGCGAGCCCATGGACTGTAGCCTGCCAGCCTCCTCTTGTCCATGGGATTTTTCAGGCAAGAACACTGGAGTGGGTTGCCATTTCTCCAGGGGATCTTCCTGACCCAGGAATTGAACCTGCAGATTCTTTACCGCTGAGCCAAAAGGTGATGCTGTGCTGGATGTGTAAATATTTAAAGTGTTATATCCTCTTGTTGGCTTGACTCCTTTATCATTGCGTAGTGCTCTTCTTTGTCTCTTATTACAGTGTTAAAGTCTGTTTATGATATAAAGATGGCCTATTAACTCCAATTTTCTTTTGGTTTCCGTTTGTATGGACTATCTTTCCTTCCCTTTTGTTTTCAGTCTGTATATGTCCTCACATCTGAAATGAGTCTCCCGCAGGCAGTATAATGGTTTTGTTTTTAATTTATCCATTCAGCAACTCTGTACTAAATTCTCCAATCAAAAGACAATTACATTTAAAGTGATTACTGACAGATATGTACTCACTGGCATTTTGTTACTTACTTAGTGGCTCTTTGGTAGTTCTTTTGTTCTTTTCTTCACTTGCTCTCCTCCTCTGTAATCTGATGACTTTCTGTAGTGATATGCTTAGATTCCTTTCTCATTTTTTTGTGGTTACCATGAGGATTACATGCCAGCTTAGACTGTTATACATACTATGTTGGTAACAAGTTTAAACACATTCTAAGGCTATACATTTTATTCTCCTCTCCTGCCATTTTGTGGTTTTGATGTCACAAATCGTATCTTTTTATCTTGCATATCCCTTAAGAAATTACTATATTTTTACTGCTTTTGTCATTTAATCTCATAATAGTTTTGTAGGTGATTAATTTACCCTTACCACATTAGATTATTTTGAATTTTACTATATATTTACCTTTACCAGTGAGACAGACTTATTTTCATATGTTTTCTTATTACTAATTAGTACTCTTTCATTACAGCTTAAATAGGTTCCTTTAACTTTTCTTGTAAGGTTGGTCTAGTGGCGATGAATTCCTTCAGCTTTTGCTTGTCTGGAATGTTCTCTCCCCTTTAGTTCTGAATGACAACTTTATCAGGTAGAGTATTCTTGGTTGCAAGGTTTTTTTTTTCTTTCAGTACTTTCACTATATCATACCACACTCCCTTCTAGGATGCAAAGGTTCTACTGAAAAACCTAATCTGCTGATAGCCATATGGAGGGGTTCCCTTGTAATTGTTTTTCTCTCGCTGCTTTTTAAGATTCTCTCCTTGTCTTTATGTTTTGACATTTTAATGTGGTCTGGGTCTCCTGGATCTGAGTGTTTGTTTCCTTCCCTACATTAGGGGAGTTTTCAGCCCCTTTATTCTTCTTCTTCTGGTATCCCTATAGTGCAAATGTTGGTTTGCTAGATGACGTAGCATAGTTTCTTAAGCTGTGTTCGCAAAAAGATGCTGCGCTGATTGGGTGAATTCCACTGCTTGTCTTTTGAGTTCAGTGATCTTTTCTTCCACTTCATTTGGTGTCTGTTTTTGTTCAGGTATTGTATTCTTCATTTCTATGACCTGACTTAATATTTGGTATTTTCCTGTATTTTCTGTTTCTTTGTTGAAGTTCTCACAATGTTCATCCGTTCTTCTCCCAAGCTTGTTAAGCAGCTTTATGATCATACTTTGAACCCTTTAGCAGGTAAATCACTTATATTCTTTTCATTCAGGACCTTTTTTGAGATTTTTATCTTGCTCTGTTTGGAACATTTTTCTCTGTTTCTTCATTTTCCTTGATTTCCTGTGTTTGTTTCCATGCATAAGATAAAACAGTCAGCTCTCAGAGTCTTGAGGGAGTGGTCTCTTGTAAGAAAGAACCTTATTGTTCAACCTTGCCCTAGCGCTCTGTTGTTTCTCAAACCTCTGATTGTTCAAGCAGCTTATTTTTAGTGGCTCCCAATAGTTGAGGGTTTGTCAACACCTGTTAGTGTCCCAAAGAGGGGCTTACTCAGCACCCAGATTCAGGCTGGTTAGAGGCCAGACCTTCAGGCAGCAGCTTTTTTTTTTTTGCCAGTTTTATTTTATTTTTTTTTATTTATTTTTTTTCATTTATTTTTATTAGTTGGAGGCTAATTACTTTACATCATTGCAGTGGTTTTTGTCATACATTGAGATGAATTAGCCATGGATTTACATGTATTCCCCATCCCGGACCCCCCTCCCACCTCCCTCTCCACCCGATCCCTCTGGGTCTTCCCAGTGCACCAGGCCCGAGCACTTGTCTCATGCACCCAACCTGGGCTGGTGATCTGTTTCACCCTAGATAATATACGTGTTTCGATGCTGTTCTCTTGAAACATTCCACCCTTGCCTTCTCCCAGAGTCCACAAGTCTGTTCTATACATCGGAGTCTCTTTTTCTGTTTTGCATATAGGGTTATCGTTACCATCTTTCTAAATTCCATATATATGTGTTAGTATACTGTAATGGTCTTTATCTTTCTGGCTTACTTCGCTCTGTATAATGGGCTCCAGTTTCATCCATCTCATTAGAACTGATTCAAATGAATTCTTTTTAATGGCTGAGTAATATTCCATGGTGTATATGTACCACAGCTTCCTCATCCATTGGTCTGCTGATGGGCATCTAGGTTGCTTCCATGTCCTGGCTATTATACAGGCAGCAGCTTTTAAAGTGTATAAATATATATAGACCACAAGTGTAAATCCCACGAGCCAGAGAGCCCAGTGACCTGGAAATGTCATCTGGGTGGCAGGCACAAAAATCGCAAGTTCCTTTCCAGGAGATGTCAGCACCCTGGAATGAGGCAGATAGGGCACAAAGGGTGGGGTTCAGACCCTCCACCACAGGGAGAAGCTCGGGTTCTGAGTTCCTTCCTGAGTGTGGGTCGTGGCACCAGAAGTGCGGTTTACAGGGAGATTGTGCTTGGCCTCTCCTACCTGCTGTCGTGGGGTTTTCTTCCTAGTTCACCTGATGTGTAGGAGTCGCTCAGGCAGTCTCGGGTTTTTTCAGAGGAAACTCTTCCATGTGCTGCTGTAGATTCAGTCTGTCTGTGGGAGGTGGTGAGTTCTGGATCTTCCTATGGTGCTGTCTTGGACCTGCTTCCTTGATTTTGTTTAAAGCACTGCAGTTTCAGCATCTGGCTGGTCTCCTGGAACACTTTATCTACCATTCTGTGACCTTAAGCATGAACTTCCCAGGTCTCATCTGTTAAATACTTAGAATGTGAAAGATCAAAAGTCATTTCAATTCCAGAAACAATTGAAGCGGCCTCTACTCTGTTTCAGGCATTGCCAGATCTGAGGTGTGAGAAAAATCAACATTCCTCACCCTCAAGGGAATTAATCAAGGGAAGTAAAGTAGTAAAATCAGATGGTAGGCTTCTCATGTGGTGCTAGTGGTAAAGAACCCGCCTGCCAGCGTGGGAGACCTAAGAGACATGGGTTCACTCTTTGGGTCAGGAAGATCCCCTGGAGAAGGGTATGGCAATCCACTCCAGTATTGTTGCCTGGAGAATCCCATGGACAGAGGAGCCTGGCGGGCTATAGTCCATGGGGTTGCAAAGAATTGGGCACGAGAGCACAAGTGCTAAGTTGCTTCAGTCAAACTCTGCAAAGCAGATGCTTTCTTCATCCCCATGTCCTCAGCCAGGCTCAGGGTAGGAAATGACCACTGAGTAACCTGGAAATAAAGTATTTCCAGGAACAAGGGATGATAATGATTACAGGGGACTCAGGAGTCACCTGAAAGGTGAGGAGATGGAAACACGACCAGGTGAGATGACCGTGACAGTAGCTCAGCCGGGACGTCATGTTCCAGGTGACTGTGTTCCTGCCCTTCACAGCTGTGGGGATCTTTCCACAAGGCAAGGCTACACGATTTACCATCTTCATCTTCTGGACTTGGAATCAGGGCCTCCTTGAGGGTTTGTTGAAAACGGTGGAGCCTCTCTGGAGATGGAAGCACACACCACCTTTAAATGCAGTGTAGGGGGTTCACTGGTAGGACTGTATCTTCAGGGCTGCCCCATCCGCCCAGCAGCCTTCCTCTCCTGGGAACAAGCCATGTTTCACTGTTCTCTGCTGGGTTCCAGCCTAAGCAGCACACTGCCCTTTATAAATAAGGCTGCTAATTAACACAGGAGATGGAGTTCATGAGTGTTCCCTGGGCCAGCTGATGGAGCAGATGACTCTTCTCTTTTGCCTTTTCAACTCAAATGTTGTATCCCAAGGCATTGGGTCCTTTCAGCAATCTCATCTGTTCTATCCTGGGAGGTATTTAAAACCAGTTTGGAACAACACTGATCTGGATTCCCTGTTCCCGAGGCTGGGAAGGACCCGTCTGCTGCGGCCCGCAGGCTCACGCAGCTCTGTGTCAGCCCTCTCTGAGAGTCGCCAGTGCCCCTGTGCTGAGCTAGAGCTGGGCCGGGGCCCTGCACAATCCTGGGTTTGGGAGCTCTGCTGTGCCAGCCCTTCAAAATAGGTTGAAACAGGCTACATTGTCCCCCCACCAAATGACTAGTGACCTACATATAATCCTTTATAATTTAGTTATCTGACATAGGCTAAGAAAAAACAAAAAGAACCCCATATCTATAGTACTCAAATGAGGAAACATGCTAGGAGAGGTAAACCAAAGATCACTCCCCACATATTTAGTGGGGTGAAACATAGCTCTTCACTGATTCACTGAATCCCAGGTTCTTTCTACGTTTCCATGCTGACTCACTTTTCCCTGAGTCTGTACAGTTCTTTCTGATTGGAGAATTACATGCAAGAAATATCCTCTGGTGAACACAGAGCTGGTTACCTGGTCCCTACATCTATAAAAGACTGTGCTGCTTGTGTAGCCCCCTTTGTCCTTTATTCTACAATGACTGAGCATATCCGGCTGGCAGAGGACATCTAAGTTAGGTACAACCCAGGGTTTGGCTCTGCTTCCATGTATGCTTTCTTTGGACAGTGACTGATTCTCTTTTTCTCCTGCAGAAATGCCAGATAATGCAGCAGCTTTGCTGGGCACTTGCTGTAAGCTCCAGATAATCCTTCCACTGTACCACCTGGTAAGGACCCTCCCAGAGGGGACCTGGGGTGGCTAGGAACAGGGAAATGAGGGGGATCGAATGCCCAGCAGCTGATAAAACTTGTTAGGCTTTCTCATCCACAGTAGCCCTTCAAAATAGGTTAAAACAGATACTACTAACCGCACATTCTTTTACACCCTGCCTGTGTCACAAACCACATAGGAAGACCAAAGCTCAGAGGGAAAGGAGTTATTTGGAGAACTTGCTAGCAGGGCTAGGACTCGAACCTTGTCTTTGTACTCCATGTCTCATGATTTTGGCATTTCTTGGAGAGAATTTTGGCCAAGGCTTGTTGCACTGTTGCAGGGAAGGGGCCTGACACCATATTATTTGCCATGCCAGTTCTATGGCTGAACCAGTCTGATTCAGCATTGAATTCAACAGGGAGGTATTCAAGAGGACTGCTTTGTCTCAGGGAGACGTTTCATTTTCTCTTAGGAATATCATTAGCTTCATGCCCTTGGGAAATGTCATGGCAAGAGTAAGAGTTAAGTAATGAGGAGCTTAGCCCTGAGAGTCAAGGTTAAGTTTTCCTTTTTAAATTACAAACTGGGTCATTATTTGAGGCCTGGTTCCTAAGGGCTGATGCCAGCATGCTGTTTAGACCAAAGAACTAAAGCCTGGAGCTCTGCACCCAGGTCTGTAAAGCAGGTGTTAGGGTAGACTACCTACATAGGACCCTGCAGTTCGTTACTCATCTGCCCTGGGAACTTGTCAGCATGGTGGTTACTGCCTTTGGTGCATCTTTGTGTAGCAGAGACCTGTGAAAACTGTAGCAAGGCATCATTCCAAGGAGCAGTTTAGATGTCATTCACAACTGAAAACAGATCCTCACCGCCCAGAGGAACGCTGTGTTCTTGTACTTTGACCACAAAAACTGAACTACTTGAAAATGAACCAGCATTAGATTGTCCTGCAGCCAGCTGAGGGTAGATGCTGATGGTGCAGTTTGGTTATGGAAATGATATACATCATTATCTAATTGTCTGCAACGACAGGAGCTCTGCTTTCATAGCTTAGCTCCCTGTCATAGCAACTGAATATCTAGTATTTCCTAGGTCAGCCCTTACCATGTATTACAAAGCCATCAACTGCATTCACGAAGTAGATACAAAAAGAAAATACTACCAAGACATATTAGCTAACTCCCTCTGCCAACCAGCTCACACTTAGTGGTCATCTTCCCTGCAGGTCTGCTCTAAGATTTGATCCCACATCGCATTCACCAGAATTCAGCTGCTGGTGTTCTAGGAGGAGATCTTAGGATGCGCTTGGAGTTCTAGCACAGCCTGTGTTCTACTTTGGTGTAGAACCATCCACCCACAGAGTCATTTGTTTACCTTTGTGGGGATGCTGAATATAAACAAATAATTTTTCTTTAAAGACCTTCCTGAGTGTCTTCATATAATCTCCCCTAGATATCGTAATAACATTTCTTAAGACAGCAAGGCTCCTGCCCCCTGAGGGATCTTGGGTATCTTATATTTCTTATAGGGATTTACTTAGAGCAAGGTACAAAAATCTACCTGCATTCCTATCTTGTCTGGTGGCCAGAGTAAGTTTGAGAAGTTTTCTGAAAGGCTTTTGAAAGAACGGTGTCAAATACACTCACACCTTTGCAAACTGGTGGAAGAAATGGTAAGAGGGTGAGTTTATAATCATCTAGAGAGAATGTTAATTTCACACCTCCACTCCTTCAGGTGTGACTGTAGTCTCTTTTATACCTAGAAGTGCCTCTGGGTGCCTGGGGTTGGCAGATGTTCAGAGAGGCAGGCGGGTTTTGCTGGGCACTTTTCCACCAGACCCAGGACACAGCCCACTGTGCTGCTGGCAGGCTTCAGCCTTCGCCAGTGGAGCTCATTCTTATGTCACCAGATATGGTCATGCTTAAATAAGAGCAGACCAGATCCACTCTCTGGGCCACATGGTAAGGGAAGCCTCTGGTTACACTGAGTGAATCTACAAGGTGTATGGATTTTTAAGGCTGGTTCTGATAACAGACACACAAGTATGCTTATATGCAAATGAGTGCCGTCCTTTGGCCGTGGGGGCAAGCTGCGGTATTTCTTTTAGTAAGGCTGTCAGTGCTCAGGACATGTCTGGAATTCTTTTGGATTCCTTCAGATTCAGTTAAAATTCATGCATACTTTATAAGGCTTACTTCTTTTAAAATTTTACTCTCATTACTAATTTGATCAGGTTCCGAGTGCCTGTTTAAAATCCATATCTACTGGCAAAATTGTAATTACTACAGACTAAAAACAAATGTATCAGAGGCACTGCTCAAGACCCTAAAAGCAAAAGTTCCAATGTTCTGAGCAGTTGCGATTAGAGCAGCGTCTGATGTGACTTCTCTGAAGAAGCGAGGGTCTGTGTTCCAGGTGGGGTATAAAGTGACAAGGTCCCTGGTTCTTCCGGGCAACTTAGGTTTTTATACACAGAGCAAACAGGGAAATAGCAAGAAGATAATGTCAGATACAGTAAATATATGAAGACAATAAGATAATGTAATAGTGGTCGGGAGGTGGGAGTAGTGAGTGTATCGATGGAGAGAGGAGTAGGAAAGACCCGTTATGTGGCATTTCAGCTGACAACTCAGAGATGAGAGGGAAAGTTCTGTGGGAACTCTGGAGGAAGGCTATCACAGGTGGAAGGAAGAGGAAGGCTGAGGCAGAGAGCATCAGTAAATAAACTATGGTACCTACCTTTGAGTTTATGCAAATATACTTAAGAAATTCTAACACCCGAATTACAGTAAAAAAACAAACTTTACACACTGTGTATGAGAAAGTTACATTCTGACCTTTCTAATCTACTGGAGTTAATGGATCCAATAGAAGGTAGAGTCCAGAGAGCAGGTGTTCAGTCAGAGGACTACTTGGACAGTAAGGAGATCGAACCAGTCAACCTTAAAAAAAATCAACTCTGAATATTCACTAGAAGGACTGACGCTGAAACTCCCAACACTTTGGCCACCTGATGCAAAGAACTGACTCATTGGAAAAGACCCTGATGCTGGGAAAGATTGAAGGCAGGAGGAGAAGGTTGGATGGCATCACCGACTCGATGGACATGAGTTTGAGCAAGCTCCGGGAGTTGGTGGTGGACAGAGAAGCCTGGCGTGCTGCAGTCCATGGGGCTGCAAAGAGTCGGACATAACTGAGTGACTGAACAACAACAGATGACTCCAGGCAAAGTGGATAAAGTCAGGCCTGTGGTCCTTGCCTGACCCAAATATATCCTGTTACAGCTCAAGGGTTTTCCCTGTTCTACTTGGAGAATTTAAACAACTTAGTTTTCCCCCATAATTAGCTAGAAGTGCTAATGTTATTATCCGATGATGACTTTCTATGATGTTTTTTGGTGAATTTATTTACATTTGTCATTTTAGCTCCGTGCTCTGTCTCATGATGGTGTGTCTGATCTTGAAGATCCAGCTTTGGCTCCTCTGAAAGATACAGAAAAGTTTGGGATCGTGCAGCGTCTGTTTGCTGCAACTGATATTAACCTGGAGAGAATGCAATCATCTGTGAAAGCTGCCAGCAGGGAGGACCCTAACGTCTTATCACTGATACTTTACATCAGTCTGAATGGACTCTGTGCTTTGGGCAGAGCACAGTAACAGTGTCATGTGCGGATTACAGGTACAGGCACACCTCATTTTATTGCACTTCACAGACAATGCATTTTTTTTTTTTTAAACAAATTGAAGGTCTGTGACAACCCTGCGTTGAGCAAGTCTATTGGCACCGTTTTCCCAATAGCATTTGCTCACTTGTGTCTGTCACATTGTGGTAACTCTCCCAATATTTGAGACGTTTTCATTATTATATGTATCATAGTGATCTGTGATCTTTGATGTTACTATCGCAAAGATTACAGCTCGACTTGCTGAAGGCTCTGATGATGGTTAGCATTTTTTAACAATAAAACATTTTTAAGGTATATACATAGTTTAGGCATAATGCTACTGTACACATTAATAGACTATAAGATAGTATAAAAATAAGTTTTATATGCACTGAGAAACCAACAAATTTGTGTGATTTGCTTTACTGTGGTGGTCTGGAACCAAATCTGCAGTATCTGAGGTGTGCCTCTACGTGTTATCAGCTAAGGCTGGCTATTTTTCAGCATCATTCAAATACTGCCTTTGGGGCTTAGGTCACCATGGTAAATAATCAAGTAGATGAACTTATTTAATAGTTTAAGAAGTGGTGGCTTTTTGCATTACAAATCACCTTGAATTCAGCTAGCAGGTACTCTGTACAGGGTTTTTTCATGGGAGGCCCTTCTGTGCTGGTAACCCAGTGTCTGAATTATAGACCCCCAACACCCCAGCTGGAGGAGGGTGGAGAATTCTAAGCCAGAGTACTCAGACCTCTTCTCGGCAAGAAAAAAAATAGGTCCATCCATCACTTTATTTTTCCCACTTTCTGTTAAACAAAAATAGATGAGACTGACACTTTGATCCAAAAATTCATTTTAAATTATGAATGCTGTGGGGAGGCAATTCCTCTTCATAGAGGGCTACATTCTGAATGTGCTCTATGCTATGCAGTGACTGAAAAATGAACTGTAAATGCTACTAGAGAACATAGTCTTCTGCTAAACAAAATGATGCTAAACAATAACCTAACCGCAGGACACACTTCTCCTTAGGGGCTGGTATATATGCATTTTATTTATTTGACTTTGCCAGGCTTTGATCAATGTACCAATCCTATTGTCTAGAGCAGTGTGCTGATTTTGCATGCATGGTGGATGTTTAATTTGTAAAATGCTACATATTGTATCAAAGGGACTTTGAACTATGTATATTTTTCTTGTTTGTTCTGTTTTCATATCCTTCCACTATAAATAGCCTGAACTGTCTCCTGAGTGCTCCTAATGCTAATGCTAATGTCCTCTGGGGACCTGAAGCTACTTTTGCTTTCCCTCAGCAAAAAGTCACTGAGACCTGCTGCTAGAAACCGACTTACTTTAGGGGCAGGAGGCAATGGGGATGAGGGCTAGCAGCTGGAACATGCTATGTTACTCAGCACCTGTTTTTTATCTCAACATCACCTACTTATTCCCTTCCTCTACTTCAGATTTTAATGAACGTTAATAAGCAAGAAATGAAGAAAATAAGCCTTTCATCACCTCTATTAAAAATTAGACTAAATCATGTAGCTATTATGCAAATATTTAACATATGTAAGAAAGAAAGAGTTGTACACTGTGGTGGCAACAACATAAAAAAATAAGCACCTTATGCACAAATTGGAGAGGAATATGCAAAAGTCAAGATAGTTGTGCTGAGATGCTGGTACTATACCTACCTGTTTTTTCTGCTTTTCTGAAATAAAATGAGTATAAAGAACATACTACAGATAGAATGTGTGATATGAATCTACTTGCATGAAAAACAGATAGCCATGTATCTCAATGCCTGGGAAATCTCATTTAAGAGGTCACAAGAAACCCAACAGTGTCTGCTTTGAGGAAAGGATGTAGAGGTTGGGACAAGAGGCATTGGTCAGGGGGGTGGGTGGTTCGTCTTTCTGTTAGAATTTTGTATGCATTATCCTGAGTTAAAAAAATAACAACAAAACCCTCCAAACATTAAAAACTAGAGACAGACTTAAGACAGAAAGAAAAGAAGCCATCCAAGCAAGTGCTAAAAGTCTGGGTTACATTAAACAGCAGCTGAGGCAGTCTCTTCCCACAATGGCCCTAAGATTGGCTAGTAATCCTGTTGGACTGTGTTGTGAACATTAGCAATTTAAAAAGATGTAGGCATATGCTGCTACAGCAGATTCCCACTGGGGTGTGGTGGATGAGGTAGTGTTGGGCTCCAGTGAGGGTGAGATAGGTTCTTCTAACTAACTGGTATCCTCACCATTAAATATCATTCTTAACTTTAAATATACCTTTATTTACTGCTCGAGATTCAGAACCATCCTTCTTTTAGTAATTAGATTTGGAATCAAGTCCTAATATCCCAGAACACCTACAAAACAGATAATAAATGCAGTAGTGTTTCCTAGAACAGAAGAGCCACCTTAACTCTTATTTCCATAACTACTTCTGTTTCATAAACGGGAATAGGAAGAAATGCTGACACAGTGTCGTGTGGCCCAAAAATGGCCCATAAAAGGTGTTCATGACCTAATAAATCCCTAGAACCTGGAAAAAAGGGTGTTTTTAAGGTACTGAACCTTGAAATGGACAGATGACCCTGGATTATCTGGGTGGACCCTTAAAGAACCAGAAGAGTTAGTGAGAGACGGATTTGGTCAAAGAAAATGCAGGAAAAATGAGGCATGAGAAGAATTCAGTGCTGCTGCTGGCTCTCAAGATAGAGGAGGCCGGTTTGACGAGAGAGTAGTTTGTTCAGCCAGCCAGCAAGGAAGTGGGGACTTCGATCCTACAACTGCATGGAACTGGAGACCACCACCAATCTGCAAGAGCCTGGATGCATATTCTCCTCCGGACCTGCGGGTAAGAGCCAGGGCAGGGCCTGGGAGACAACTTTGCTTTAGCCTCATGAGACTTGTGTTGAGTTTTGGACCTACAGGACTGAGATGATAAGTTTGTGTTGTAAGCTGGTTAAGTCTGTGGTAATTTGTTATTGCAGTGATAGAAAACCAACAGGTAGTATAAGATGGAAGAGTGAGTCACAGGTGGACCCTTGAACAACATGGGTTTAAACTGCACCAGTCCACTTATAGGGACACCCAACTGTGTTTATTAAGGGAATGATGACTTTATGTAAAAACCTAATTTTTTGGGAACATAAGTGAAATATTCTGAAATAAAACACAATATTTTCTTGGATCAGTCCCCCAAGGCCAAAGAAATAAAGCAAACATATGCAAATGGACCCAATTAAACTTTAAACCTTTTGTACAACAAAGGAAACCATCAATGAAACAAAAAGGCAGCCAATGGAATGGGAGAAAATATTTGCAAATGATGCTCCTGACAAGTAGTTAGTATTCAAACTATACACACAGCTCATATGACTCAATTATTGAAAAAAATCCCACAAAAAATGGACAGAAGACTTGAATAGATATTTTCCCAAGTAAGACACAAGGATGGCAAACAGGCACATGAAAAGATAAGATGCTCAACATTGCTAATTATTAGAAATGCAAACCAAACCCACAATGAAGCATCACCTCAAAAGGGTCTGAATGGCTATTATCAAAAACTCTACCAATAACAAATGTCAGAGAGGATGTGGACTAAACGGAACCTTTCTTCCTACGTTGTTGGCAGGAATGTAAATTGGTATAAACACTATGGAAAATAGTATGGAGGTTTTCTCAAAAACTAAAAATAGAACTGACGTGATCCAGCAATCCCACTATTTGGAAAAAAATGAAACCACTAATTTGAAAAGGTACATACACCCCAATATTCACAGCAGTATTATTTACAATAGCTAAGACATGGAAGCAACTCAAGTCCCATCAACAGATGACAGGATTAAGAAGATGTGGTATATACACAATGGAATATTACTTAGCTATAAGAAAAGAATGAAATACTGGCACTTGCAACAATGTGGATGAACCTGAAAAGAATTATGCCTAGTGAAGCAAGTCAGACAAATACTATACAATATCACTTATATGTGGAATCTAAAAAATAAATACCAATGAATATATACACAAAACAGAAACAGGTTCGCAGATGCAGAAAACAAACGAGGTTACTAAAAGGGAGAGGGACAAATTAGGGATATGAAATTAACAAATACAAACTACTGTTTACAAAGTAGATAAGAAACAAGGATTCACTGTATGGCATAGGGAATTATACCCACTATCTTATAATAACCTATAATGGATTATAATCTGTAAAAATACAGAATCACTATGTTGTACACTTGAAACTAACACAGTATTATAAAGCAACTATATTTCCACAAAAAAACTTAATTCTTTTGGAGACATCGGAAATACACCAGAGTAGCAATTTCTGCATTGTGGTGTATGGAATCTTAGAAAATAACTTGGGAAAGAGTTGTCAAAGTACCTTTTCTGGGAACAGGCTTCCTGCACTCACCCACATTCACGCCTCCATCTCTTGGTCAGTCCGGTGGGTCCTCCTCTTCTTATTGCAGACCTCAGGGCTGAGCTGTGTGCCACAGAAGGTGTTGTCCTTCCCACCAGGGTTTTTCTTTTCTTGGCTAACTGGGAAATGGTCCTAGTATTCATGCCATCTAAGCGTAGAGGTCTTCTCTTGATCCTGTATTTTAATCTTCCCTGTCTCTGGAATTCTTTAAGTCGTCTTTGAAAGCTATGGAATCTTTGGGCTGGGATAGATGAAACAATAATTAGGGTTTCCTTGTTAAAAAACAAAAGGGAGGCAGGTGAAAAATTTATAAATTTTGGTGGGAAAAATATGACATTAGAAGCTTTTAACAAAGATGCTTAGCAGTTCAAAGAAATTGCCAAAACTAACCTGATGCCTTCTATATTTTATTATCTTCAAGCCTTATTTCTACCTATAAATGAAACATTACATTTTTCCAATATTAAGTATTTATTTCTTTATATGTACAAAAATATTTTACCAGGAGTATGCAGTCTCACAGATTGAACATTTCAGTAAATTTCATTTTGG